TGATTTAAAATAAGATCAAATATAATACGCATATTTCGATCATGAACTTGTTTTATAAGTTCATTAACATCCTCCATTGTACCAAATACATCCATGATATCTTGAAAATCAGATATATCATATCCATTATCCTAGATAAAAAAGAATGATAATTTTACATATAGATAAAAGATAAAATATTTACATCGTTTGGACTTTTAAAAATTGGACAAATCCAAATCAGATTAGCTCCAAGATCTTTGATATGATCAAGCCGTTGAATAATGCCTACAAAAACAAAGAAGAAAGACTTCTAGACTTATTATTTTTTTCTTTTGTTGATAAAAATTTACCTTGTATATCACCAATTCCATCTCCATTACCATCTTGAAATGATCTTGGATAAATTTGATATGCTATAGATTCTTTCCACCATTTGCGATGAACGTTTGTTGTAGGATGAAATGATGATTTGATTATTGATTCTGACTTAGTATCCATTGATGGATTTTCAGTAGCTGTAGACATATTATTATAACAGAAGGAAAAATACAATAATCTAGAAGAATTTTGTCGACCAGTCGAAGAAAGGAATGGTATGAAAAAAAAGTAACCGTTGGACTGATGTGCGAAACCGCTTCGCTGTTTGTCATACGTTGAAATTCAACCTTTAGTTTTCGATTCTATCCATTCTGCTTGTAATAAAATATAAATTGAAAAAGAAAAGTGCACGTTACGGTCAATAAAAAAGTAAAAGAACTAGAGTTCAAAGAGTAGATAATGTAGCTTCTATAGAAATGTACTCTATCCTTACTAGCATTAGGTGATCATTATGATCCTCTACATAAAAAAGCAGAAGTTCTCATGGTAATATAGCGACATCTAATCATACAGTAAGAAAAGAAAATGAATCCAAGACGAACAATGTCGTTGTCAGATTCCAATCTAGATTTTTCAGAATTTGACAAAGTCTCATTGTGAGTTTTAGAGATTCGATCCGCTCGAGTAATCGAAATCGATAGGATTCAATCATTATTATTCATATCTAATAGGATGTGACTGAGATGACTGCACTCGAGAAACTGATATTTAATTCAGTTTTATTTCATACTAAGAATAACTCAAGTGAATGAACGAATAATATTGAGTTCGATTACAAAGTCAATCGTTATACTGTTTTGAAGCAAATTTTATTAAGCTTAGATATATATATATGAAGTTGAAATTTTGAAACGTGATTCAAATGAAAATTTTCTTTCTGTAATAATGTTAAATTATTGATCACTATTATCATCTTTATTCTAAAATTTATATAAAATGGGATTTAAAAGTACAGATTATTTCTATTGATGCATATCTAGTTTTTAGATTATGTTAAAAGCATATGATGTTGAGTACAAATGTATTTTGTTTTCTCCTTTCTCCCTCGATGTATATCAATCATCGTTTAATACAAATAAGAAAGTCGTAGATGTAGGCGGAAATATTAACATACAACTTGATCAATCTTATTCTCTTCGACTTGTTTAGTAATTCAATTTTTTTTTACCTGTCAAATAATGAGTAGGCTATAATCAATTGGACTAAATGTAAATATAATTTCTCGCTCATTTAAATTCATACACAATATTCATTTATATACCAAAAGACAGAGAACTTCATCCTCTATTTGGCTGATCCATTTTCGAATATCCCAGCTTTGCTAAAGTGTCAAAACTATCTTGCAGAATGATTTGTTAAACAATATAGTTTTCTTTTGAATTACAATTCACTTGCAAAGTCCTTATTCGGACAGCAAAAAAACATGCAGAATTCCGTTCTGTACAAAACAGTGTAGATGATAAATCGGAATGCAACATATTTTTCACCAAAATTCATGAAAAAAACCGAGCAGGCCTCATAATGAATCCATATATATCGGAAGTCATTGTGAGTATTACAAAGGACAAAAAGATCATATCGAAATCGTACAAAATCAAGTGATCAAGAAATATATGCAGTAATTGAACGAAACATTTCTAATCGAAAAGATTCCAACACAAAAAAATGTTCATCCTGACTAAGACTTTCAATAGAAATCTGAAACCAAAGTACAAATAAATACTTTGTTTCCGTTGACAAAATATCTGTTAGTACTTTGTTCTCAATAATAACGTACGATACCAATAAAAACAATGACAAGGTTTTTATTATTCACATCTTGTTATGAAAAAAAAAGTTTCCTTTGTAAGTAAAAAAAAGCCAACAAGGAAAAATAACATATACAATTAGTAACAACAATATAGATATATTTAATTCATTAAATTTACGAAATATTTTACTGAATTAATTTTTACTATCAAATATATATTAGAAATTTTTCAGAAAAGAATAAAATGAAAGTAATTATTACACTGTTCTTGTTCATACATGTTACTATATATTCATTACAAGATTATGAAATTGATTCAATTGAGATTCCTAATTTTAATATATTTGAAAAGAACTAATACAGAAAATATGTTTAAGAAACAAGAAAAAGACACATTTTTAATAATAAATATGATTAGATTAAAAGTATCGCAACATAAAAAAAGCAAAAAGTTTTTTCTACTTTATAAATTATCATTTCATTACTTTATTTTTTATTTTTTTTGCTATTCAAGTCAAAAATTACATCTGTTTACAATAAAAATATGCTTTGGAAACGGTCTAGATATTTGAATGCAGAAATATGACCGTAACGGCACATATATAGTGTCCTATTACAGGAAAATACAGTTTTCTCATTGCGATACAGTTGTTA